TTACAATGGATCCTGGTTCAGCCTTGATGGTGGGCTTGTGGAGGGTCCCTGCAAGGGAGTAGGAGAGAATGAGTTGTTCCTGTCTGGAAGTTGGCACTGAGAAAGACATGCATGCAGATAGGACTTTGTTTTCCTTTAAATTTATTCTTCTGTCATACAATACATCCAAATAGCAGCCTCTCCATATCTCCTTCCCCACACACACACACACAGATCCACTGCTCTTCTTTTTCTTTTAAGATAAGAGCAGGCTTTCCAGTGATATTAACCAAATATGGCATAACAACTTACAATAGTTAGGCACAACCCTCATATTAAGGCTTACCAAAGCAACCCAGTAAAAGAAAAAAGATCCCACATGCATGAAAGAGTCAGAGACTTTCCCACTCCAATTATTACAGTTCTAACAAATACCCTAAGCTAGACAGGGAAGTGTGGTGCAGGCCTTTATTCCCGGCACTAGGAGGTAGAGGCAGGCCCATCTGTGAATTAAGGCCAACCTGGTTTACAGAGTGAGGTCCAAGACAGTCAGAACTACACAGCGGACCTCTAAAAAACACACAAAAAAAAACCCCAAGGTAAACAACCACAGCATGTGTGCAGAGATCCTAGAGCAGACCAATGCACGCTCTGAGTTTGTTGCTCATCTCTTTGAGCCCACGATTCCAGCTTAGATGGTTCTGTGGTTCATGTTCTTCTGGTGTCGTAAGTACTTCAGCTCCTACAATCCTTTCTCTCGGTCTTCTTTAGGTTTTCCTGAGCTCTTGTGGATGCTACTTGAACTGACCCAGAATAACAGAAGGCTCCATGAAGATTCATTTCTAGCCTTTACCTCCTACTACTCTCTGCCTAGGACTCTGTATCTTGTACCCCATTGTCTCATGTGATTTGTGTCAATGGGCTCAGGTGGTGTCCTCACACACACCACGCACCATGTCCTCCCTGAACACCTGTATAATTTCAATAGCATTAAATGGAAAGTTGGGTTTCCTCACCTGAGACCAGGAGCTCCAGGGGTTCACTTGGTTCTGACCACACCTGTGGGCTGTAACTGTGATAGCTGTAGCATCTGAATGTCCATCTTTGACTGGAGGTGATAGGACCAACAAAGAATTGAGCCTGGAACTGTCTATTAGAGTGAGTATATAAATACGGTGAGTATTTAGTGAAGGACTGATTCTGTGATCCTTTGTTAGTCAGAAGTAACCTGTGAAATTTCTGACTTGAGGCACACTGAAGGATGTCATTCCCTCCTTCAGTCACCACAGGCCTGGGCTGGGCTGACAGGCTGGGTTTACTGTAGAATCCTAGGAGGGAAGGAAGAATCAGTTAAATTTCCTCAAGGGCTCAATATCTTCTACAGCATGAAGGGACATTCCTGTGAACAGACCCACTTCTTGACAGTCAATCATGAGGCTAGGAACCCTGTGTGTCCTCTCACCTGTCACCATAAGCTCCAGAGAGTCACTGTACTCTGACCATCCATTATAGGTCCTATAGCGACAGCGATATCGCCCTGCATGCTGACGGTGTACTTTTGAGATTGAGAATTCACCCTGGTTCTTAGGATTCTGTGGAATCTCTGTGTGCAGTAGATCCTGGTAGACCTCTTTATAGAGCCTATAATCTTTGGCTGCCGCAGTCCCATTACACAGAAAGGTCACTGTAGTCTTCTCAGAGACCACGGAGTCTGGCTGTACTCTGAGGATAGGGTTAGGGAGGGATCCTGCATAGAAATGAGCAGCTAGAACCAAGGACAGCCATCCTCAGATTGCAAGCCCCAACCCCATCCGTCCAGCCACCCCCAGGTTTAGCATACATCTGCTGTTTTCCAGCCTCCCTGCCTAGGCATGGCTTCTGGGAATGATGAGAAGTGCAGGTCAGGACATCTGCAGTCACTCACCTGCCAGCACTGGGGTCCCTATGCCCAGAGTAAGTCCTGGAAGAGAGTTCCCTGTGAGAGGTTTGTCCCTGAAGCTTGAGCAGGTCCTCCCCTCTGCAGGCCCTCCTAAGATTTTGTTGTTTCCTGATGGGCCAGTGCTGAGCTGTGGGACAGCATCAATCCCAGACCACAGTACCCCCTTCCCATCTCCACATCTCACCCACACATAGCAGGGCTGTGAACGTGAAGGTCATGGCATTTCCTCCTGGAAGCTGCTACTGTGTTCATGGGCAGAAATACGGAGACTGCCTGGAGAGACAGGAAACACAGGGTGTGGCCTCTGGAGGCAGGCACTCTGCATGACTTGGTTGTATTGATGCAGCCCCACAGGAAAGGTAACTCCCCTCTTCAGGTACCAGGCTCTGTCTTCCTCCAGGCTGTGACTAGGTCAGGGAGTAGACTCTGCAATCAGTTCTTTTATGGATGACGTTTCAACAATCCTGTCAGTGTCTGTTTCATCTGTCCTCATCTTTGCCAGTTCCAGATGGAGCTGGAAAATTATCAGACATATATGAATAGTACATATTAGAAATACATATTTACATGTGGGTTTGTATTATTCTTTTTCACATTTTTACATGAAATACTTTTTAATGTTTGAAGATTTCTTTGAAGGATCTTGCTGTGTATATCTGCATGGAATAAAATTTATAATCCCCTTCCTCATGATCTCAAGTGTTGAGTTCCAGATGTGCATCTCTATTTGGATATTCTTTTATGATATCTGTACTTTTTGTTACAATTTTAAATCATATTTATTTATTTATACTTATTCCTTTTAAATTACACATAATTAACAATAATATATTACACTTACTTTTTCTTCATGCATGTATATTTACATGTGCCACAGTACTGCTTGGAGGTCAGAGGACAGCTATAAAGGCAGTTTTCTCCTTGTGCAATGTGGATCTGAGTCAGGATTGAAGGTTAGCAGCAGCACTTATACACTGATCCTTGTCAGTGGCTCAGTCGTAGCATCATCACTTTCCTGTGTCCTTCTGCTCAGGCAAAAAATAAAAAAGGTGCTGGGTGCGGGTGTCCTGGGTCAACAAAGGTCCAAGCATTCTTTGATTATCTTGGTGTGCCTGTTGTTGGTCTAGAGGCATTCGCCTGCACACGGGTTCAGGTATGGGCAGACCTTGTGGGCAGCAGTGATGTGGGAGTCCCTTCTGTGTGCTGTGATTAACATTAATGAATAAAGTAACTGCCTAGGCCTTTTGTTAGGGCAGAACATAGGTAGGTGGAGGGACTGGAGTGAATACTGGGAGATAGAAAGATGAAGTCAGGGAATGCCAGGGATCTGCCGCCGGAGTGGACATGCTGGAACCTTGATGGTAGGCCACGACCTTGTGGTGATATATATATTAATAGAAATGGGTGAAATTAAGTTGTAAGAGTTACCCAATAAGAAGCTAGAGCTAATGGGACAAGCAGTGATTTAATTAATACAATTACTGTGTGAATTTTTCTGTTCTGGGCTGCCTGGATGAACAAGAAGCTCCTCCCTCTACACAGCAGTGCATGGCCTTGTCATAGTTTTACTTCTAGCGAAACTAGCAAACAGGTAGCTCTATTATCACACGTGTACAGCACCAGGATAAAGGGGAGAATCTTTCTGGACTTTGCTGTTGGTCAGGGTGCAGTCACTCTCTATCTGCTGGCAGCAAATACCAACCACCGATCATCAGGAGTGATCTTGGTTCTCAGTCTTGACACTGTTCATGTAGTCACTGAGTTGAACCTCAAGAGTCATAGTCTTGCCCTTCAAGAGCTTGCCAACTTGCCAAAAATCTCCATCTTGTTGTCTGTTCCACCACCTAGTTGAAAAAGAAAGTTCAATAAACATAGTTTATTTCCCTTTAATTTGGTACTAGGGACAGATGGTGGGGCCTCCAGTAATCTACTTCTCCTGAACCATACTCCACCCTTAAGCCACAGCCACTTTCTCCTGCAATTTTCAATTTCTTATCTTACTTTAAATTTATTTCACATGCTAAATTTTTCTCATACTTATGTGTTTAATTATTGTTGATGTTGATTAGAAACAGGTTCTCTCAGTGGAGTCCTGGCTGTCCTGAGCTGGTTATGTAAGACAGGCTGGTCTGGAACTCACAGAAATTCTACTGCCCCTGCTTTCTGTTTAGATTAAAGATGTGGGCCACCACACGTGGCCATGGGTTTAGTTTTTCACTTGTTTGAAAATGTCATAGGAGCATACATTGTGTCTTGGATGAGTCCACCCTCCAGCCTTCCCCTTTCTCCTCACCCTCTCTGATTGGATTCCTCATCACTGACTTGTTTTGCTTTTATTCCTTTTGGGTCTTGCTAATTGTTGAAAATCCACTTCCCTATCTTACTCACCCAACTTTCTGTTCTCTTCCTCCTATGCAGTTCAATTTGTGCTTCTCATAATCTTGGGCATAGTTCCAGGGGACACACCATTAAAGATAACTGGCTTTCCCTCTCTCAGTAGGCATCAATGCCAATAGCTCTCCATCTGTGGATGGGACTTTGTGCCCATCTCCCATCCCCATGCTAGATGTGTTGTTCATTGAACATGCATTGGGTTTGTTGATATCTTACAATCACTCTCAACTCAGATGATCCACTATTCTTCAGTGACCAGAAAAGTGTTTATTGACAGCATCCACCATCTATGGATCTTACAGTTTTCCCACATTCTCTTCAGTAATGATTCTGTGTCAGGAATGTGTCACATGAGGACAATTCTTTTACTTATCACCTCAAAGATTGTGTCAGGCATGCACAAGTCCTGTTTGTCACATGGAGAATAAGGTAAAGTTCACTATTTCCCTCTTTAGTTACAGAGCCTAAAAGACACCCTTAATTTCCTCTTTGCATAAATGTTAATATGAATAATTACCATCTTAAAAGCCTGTCTATGCATGTCCTTTGTTAAATCAGAAAAATGCTCAATTCATAGAGTCCTTGTGTGACAATCTTAGATGTCTGGGTTTAATTCACAGTACTGCACAATTTGATGTTGTGACTCAAGTCTTGGACTTCAACATACAGGAGGTAGAGGTAAGAGTATCTGGATTTTAAGGAAATTTTTATTATGCAATGAGTTTCAGGTCAGGCAATATCTCATAAAAGGAAAGAAAAATTCTTCTGGAGTGTGTGGTGAACATGATCAAGTATATTTTATGCATGTAATAACCTTCAATAAATAATGAAAATATATTTGCTGTAAAGCTCCCACATTGGGTATATGTACCAAGTATTTCATCTCATCCATTTCCAAGGAGATATTTCCATCCCAGACTCTGCTTTTTTTCCACCCTTGTAAGATCTCATGCCAAGCATGTTACATGGCTATACTGTCTCCTTTTTATTGATTTCTTTGGCAGCTGTTGTTCTTGACCAGATTTAAGTGATGGGTCATGCCATTTGAACCAGTAGGAGTTTTACTGAGTGCTGTGAATTCATTCACACCTCCCTCTCACAGGCCTCATTCACTGTGAGAAGAAGTGCTGCCCTCTGCTGGTTGTGTACAGAGTTCCTGCAGGGCAATGCTGCTGGCTTATATACCCCAGTGTTAATCTTTTGGCTTTGATCTACCTTTTGTGATTATTGCCTTTTGTGTTCACATCCCTCTGTTTGAAGTGTGCAAATCTTATCTGAGTTTTTCCTGAAAGGTTCAAACCAATGCAAAACTATGCATAAATCAAAAAATAGACGTATCCTAGTATGAAAATTTCTTTGGCATTTGTCTTTTTTGGGGAGATTCAGATAAAAGATTTTGTTATGTGGAAAGTAACTTGCTAAGGTTTAAACAGAATAAATATTAAAATAAATTAAACATAAAAATAATTTTTTTTCTTTTTGATTTCTTAAGATAGGGTTTCTCTGTTTTGAACTAGCTCTTATAGACCAGGCAGGCTTCAAACTCATGGAGATCTGCCTGCTTCTGCCTCCCAAGTGCTGGAATTAAAGGTGTGCCACCACAGCCTGGGCAAAATAAAAAACTTTTATGAAACAAAAGCTAGACAGTTCACCAGGAGCAGACTCCCCTTCCATAACAAAAGTTAAAATTCATCCTAGTGTGACCCTGGTTCTTCCAAGGAACAGGGAAAAAATGAACACCAGCACTTGACATGGTTGGATGAGCTACATACGATGACCTTGCCTCAGATGACTGACAGCCACACAAGGCATCTCATCAGTCCTCTCTGACACAGATGGGTTAGATGTAGAGTTCCAGCAGAGGCATCACATATGCTGGTGGATATGAACTCCCCAGGGTGTAGGGTTATGGTTCTTCTCCAACCGTGCCCCATGGCTTCTATCCCTAGCACCCTACATGCACTACAATTACTGACCACATTACAATTACTGGACTCTTCTGGGTTAGTTCTTTAAACCTATGTGTCCTTCAGAGTTTGCCCAACGGAGGATGTCTCCTGTTGCTTTTCACAAACAACTTATAGCACCATGTAGAAGAATCTCTGCCTTGAATCTTCTTCAGTACTGGGCAGACACTAAGAGGCAGGATCTTGAGTGCAGGTTCTGTGTTTGTATGACTCCTGCTTCACCCATACCATATCTAGTGTTTTGCTATTTGTGGTAGTGAGTAATTTTCTATCTTTACAAGTAAGTGTCGATTTTGGTTACTGACTTTTGATCCAACTCTGTTTCTTCTCAATAACATTTTCCATCATTTATTCCCTGTGAATGCAGAATAAATACCCATACCCCACCACATATGTACACACACATGCACACATGATTTATATGTTTAATTGAACCTTGAATTCTGGCGTATGCTCATGCTGATCATGTCTATCATTCCATCCATATGCCAAGATGTGTTCCCTGCTAAAACTTAGTTCAGGATTTTTATTCTTTCCCTAGACAGGAAGAGATTATCCACCCATCTTCATGATGGAATGAATAGGGCCCTGGCCTCTCCTAAGGACACCGTGAGGCCAGGTTCTGGCTGCCCCAAATCTCAAAGGCCAGAATCCCAAGGACTATGAGGACCATGACAGCAAAACCCATCCTGATGAGATTTTCCACTGTGTGATCTTGTTTTTTTGAGGCTGTGATGTGGACAAAGAAGTTACAGAGTTTAGTGATGGTGAAAATTTCCACAAGGAAATGATCCCAAGATAACTAAATGTCTCCCAGATAACTGAATGTCCGCCATGAACCCCTGCATATCCTGGACAGAACTTGGCCCCTATGCTTTCAGTGCTTTGAGTTTGAATTTTCTTTATTCAACTGTCTTGAGTTTGTGCATGTTCTAGGAGGAACTGAGAGTTTTCAATGATCTTGTGGACAGAAGAAGAGTATGATGTGGGCATATGGCCTGAGGGTTTATCTGTGTTCTTCTTCCTCATTTCATGTAAATACCCATCATTCTCATTCTATAAACTAATGAAGTTCTGGAATGAATCTTTTTTCCTTGGCATAGCTGGGTTCCCTCTCTTGTTTCCATCAGCACCACTGTGAAATACCAGTAAAAACAGAAAATTCAGAGAAGAATAAATTGTCCTGAAGTTACAGACAATGATCATGATTGCACTGAGTCAGAACATTCATCACTCGACACCACATTCTGTATCTCAACCTCAAACTTTTGGTGTCTGGGGTGTCTATTGGGATCTGTTTACCTCCTTCCTTAACCAGCTGTAGTGATAGAGAAATGAAGACGTCAGTGGAGTAAGAGAGTGAGACAATCGGGATGGAGTATGCTCCCTGCACTAATGTGCCTGATACTCACCATTTGTTGTCATGGGCCTTGAGGGTGGAGTTGAGGCTCCAATGGGTCCTAGGAAACAGAACAGAGGAGGGTGAGGGTTGGATGCTAACCCAGGGAGACCGACTTTGCTCACTGCCCTACATCTTTCTGGTAACCTCCCAACATCCTCATGCTGTTTACTCCAAACCTAGATTGCAATAGAGGATGGAGTGGATGTTACATGAAGGACTGCTGCTGGCATCCACTTCTCTGGCAGAGGAAATGCCTTCTTTCCCATTGTCCTCTTAATCTCACTCAAGACAAGGGCTCTCCTAGCATTTGGATCTTAAGTCACCATGACAGTTCAGGGTCACTTCACCTGAGACAGTGAGCTCCACAGGGGCACTGGCATATGACAACAGGTAGACAGATGAGTCTGCAGAAACATAGCACTTGTAGGTGCCTGAGAGGTTAGAGGTCACAGCACTCATGGAGAATTCTGCCTGGGACTCCTGAACTTGAAACTTTGATTTTAGTCGCTGGGGTGGGTGTGCTGCTCCCTCCTTGGACAGAAAAAAGTGTCCACTGTGTCAGATGTCTTACACAACAGGGTCACGTTGTCTCCAGAGTGTACCGTGGAGTTCGGCTTCACTGAGAGGGAAGGAATGACCTGAAACTGTCCTAAAGAGAAGAGAGATGATAAGAGGCTGCCATCAATATTCTGAGCTGACACATAACCTGGGTCTTCCATGAACACCTAGGATTCTGTATCTTTTCGTTGCTTGAGCTCCTCTCCCATTCCCCTGTTGCTATATCTTTACATATTAAAATCCCTGCCCCTCATCCCAGCCATCACCTCCTTAATCCCCCAAAGAAAGCCAAGTAGCGGTTATGTGCCCGAGGGAATCTATTTAGTTCCTCACCTGTGATCAGGATATCCAGGGGGTCACTGGAGGCTGACCACTCAGCGGTGAGGTTGTGAGCACCATAGCATCTGTACCGGCCTCCAGCAGAGCTGCTCACAGAGCCCAGTGTGAAGCTGGCCAAAGAGAGACCAGCCTGGGTTCTATAGCCATAGTGTTGGGTGAAGTCAGCTACCCCCACCTTGTACAGAACAAATATGTCATAGTTGATTTCAGAGCAACACTGCAGGGTTAGGTTCTTTCCAGGGTCTAGGATATGGCCTTGGTGACTCAGCAAGGATGGCTTCTTGGATTGGCCTAGAAGGAAGATGATAAACTAGAGATTGTGGAGATGGTTGTTACCAAACACTTATCTCCTCCCATCCTTCCCTGTGCATGTCACAGCTTCTCCTGAGGAGTGGGAATCTGGTTCATCAACCAGGTTCTTCCTTTTGCACTTTTTATTTACAGCTACACAGTGGGACGCTTCCATGGCAAAGGGTATAGGGTGTCAAATATGATTGGTCAATGATGGGAGTGACTCACCAGAGATGTGTATTTCCAGAGGGTCACTGGGTACTGACCACAGTTGTGGGGTCTGCTTGTAGTAACCATAACATCTGAATGTTCCTGTGAGGTTTGGTGTTACATGATCTATAGAGAACAAGGCTTGGTACTGCATAATATGGGGTATATACTGTGAGTCCACGGAGCTGAGGAACTTCTGATCTTCCTTGGTGAGAATGAACTTGTCATATCTCTCCCCTGAGACACACTGGAGAGTCATGTTCCCTCCTGAGGTCACCACAGGGCTGGGCAGGGCTGACAGCCTGGGTTTACTGATGTGGATTCCTAGGACAGAAGACTCAGACTGTTACATGTGCTCACAGAGACACAATGCGTGCCAGGGTGAGACTTGGAGGGGAATACTCCTGAGAGCAGAGCCAGTGTCTGAGACCCTGACTGTCCCCTCACTAATCACCACCAGTTCCAGGGGGTCACTGCGATCTGTCTAACCAGCTGAGCTGTAACAGTAACAGTGATATTTCCCTGCATGTAGATGTGTCACAGAAGGGATGGAGAACTTGGTTTTGTTCTCAGGCTTCCCTGGGATTTGCATGTCCAAGGGTTTTTGACTTCCCTCTTTATGGAGAACATATATTTCTGCATCCAGGGTCCCCTGACACCAGATGGTCATGAGTCTACCTGAGATTACAATGGATCCTGGTTCAGCCTTGATGGTGGGCTTGTGGAGGGTCCCTGCAAGGGAGTAGGAGAGAATGAGTTGTTCCTGTCTGGAAGTTGGCACTGAGAAAGACATGCATGCAGATAGGACTTTGTTTTCTTTTAAATTTATTCTTCTGTCATACAATACATCCTGATAGCAGCCTCCCCATATCCCCTTCTCCACCCACCCCCAGATTCACAGCTCTTCTTTTTCTTTTAAGATAAGAGCAGGCTTCCCAGTGAAATTAACCAAATATGACATGACAACGTACAATAAATAGGCACACACCCTCATATTAAGGCTGACCAAGGCAAACCAGTAGGAGAAAAAGAAATCCCACAGGCATGAAAGAGTCAGAGACTTTCCCACTCCAATTATTACAGTTCTAACAAATACCCTAAGCTAGACAGGGAAGGGTGGTGCATGCCTTTATTCCTGGCACTAGGAGGTAGAGGCAGGACCATCTGTGAGTTAAGGACAACCTGGTCTACAGAGTGAGGTCCAGGACAGTCAAAACACAAAACAAAACAATAAAACCCAAGGTAAACAACCACAGCATGTGTGCAGAGGGCCTAGAGCAGAGCAATGCCGGCTCTGAGTTTGTTGCCTCAGTCTCTGTGAGCCCGTATGACTTCTGCTTAGTTGATTCTGTGGTTCATGTTCTTCTGGTGCCCTGAGTACTTCAGCTCCTACAATCCTTCCTCTCAGTCTTCTGTAGGTTTTCCTGAACTCTTGTGGATGCTACTTGAACTGATCCAGAATAACAGAAGGCTCCATGAAGATGCATTTCTAGCCTTTACCTCCTACTACTCTCTGCCTTGGACTCTGTATCTTGTACCCCATTGTCTCATGTGTTTTGTGTCAATGGGCTCAGGAGCCTGGCTCCTCACACACACCACGCACCATGTCCTCCCTGAACACCTGTATAATTTCAATATCGTTAAATGGAAAAGGTAGGGTTCCTCACCTGAGACCAGGAGCTCCAGGGGTTCACTAGGTTCTGACCACACCTGTGGGCTATAACTGTGAAAGCTGTAGCATCTGAAAGTCCATCTTTGACTGGAGGTCACAGGACCCACAGAGAATTGAGCCTGGAACAGTCCAGTGGAGTGGTTATACTGTGGGTCTTTAGTGAAGGACTGATTCTGTGATCCTTTGTTAGTCAGAAGTAATCTGTGATATTGCTGACTTGAGGCACACTGAAGGATGACATTCCCTCCTTCAGTCACCACAGGACTGGGCAGGGCTGACAGGCTGGGTTTACTGTAGACTCCTAGGAGGGAAGGAAGAATCAGTTAAATTTCCTCAAGGGCTCAATATCTTCTATGGTGTGAAGCGGCATTCCTGTGAACAGACCCACTTCTTGACAGTCAAGCCTGAAGCTAGGAACCCTGTGTGTCCTCTCACCTGTCACCACAAGCTCCAGAGAGTCACTGTACTCTGACCATCCATCATGGGTCCTATAGTGACAGCGATATCTCCCTGCATGCAGGCGGTGTACTTTTGAGATTGAGAATTCAGCCTGGATCTTAGGATTCTGTGGAATCTCTGTGAGCTGTAGACCTTGGTCTACCTCTTTATAGAGCCAGTACTTTTTGGCTCCCGTAGTTCCATCACACAGGAAGGTCACTGTAGTCTTCTCAGAGACCACGGAGTCTGGCTGTACTCTGAGGATAGGTTTAGGGAGGGATCCTGCATAGAAATGAGCAGCTAGAACCAAGGACAGCCATCCTCAGATTGCAAGCTCCAACTCCAACCATTCAGCCACCCCCAGGTTTAGCACACATCTGTTGTTTTCCAGCCTCCCTGCCCAGGCATGGCTTCTGGGAATGATGGGAAGTGCAGGTCAGGACATCTGCAGTCACTCACCTGCCAGCACTGGGGTCCCTATGCCCAGAGTAAGTCCTGGAAGAGAGTTCCCTGTGAGAGGTTTGTCCCTGAAGCTTGAGCAGGTCCTCCTCTCTGCAGGACCTCCTGGGACTGTGTTGTTTCCTGATGGGCCAGTGCTGAGCTGTGGGACAGCATCAATCCCAGACCATAGTACCCCCTTTCCATCTCCACATCTCACCCACACACAGCAGGGCTGTGAACGTGAAGGTCATGGCATCCTCTCCTGGAAGCTGCAACTGTGTTCATGTGCAGAGCTAGAGAGACTGCCTGAAGAGACAGGAAACACAGGGTGTGGCCTCTGGAGGCAGGCACTCTGCATGACTTGGTTGTATTCCCCACAGGAAAGGTAACTCCCCTCTTCAGGTACCAGGCTCTGTCTTCCTCAAGGCTATGACTAGGTCAGGGAGTAGAATCTGCAATCAGTTCTTTTATGGATGACATTTCAACAATCCTGTCAGTGTCTGTTTCATCTGTCCTCATCTTTGCCAGTTCCAGATGGAGCTGATAATTATCAGACATATATGAATATTACATACAAGAAATACAAATTTATATGTGGGTTTTCATTATTCCTTTTCACATTTTTTAATGTTTGAAGATTTCTGTGAAGAATCTTGCTGTGTATATCTGCATGGAATAAAATTTATAATCCCCTTCCTCACTATCTCAAGTGTTAGGTTCCAAATGTGCATCCCTATTTGTCTGTTCTTTTATGATGTGTGTACTTTTCGTTATAGTTTTAAATTATATTTATTTATTTACACTTGTTTCTTTAAATTACACATAATTAATAATAATATATTACACTTACTTTTTCTTCATGTGTGTATATTTACATGTGCCACTGCTTGGACGTCAGAGGACAGCTACAGAGGCAGTTTTCTCCTTGTGCAATGTGGATTCGAGTCAGGATTGTAGTTTGGAAGCAGCACTTCTACACTGAACCTTGTCAGTAGCTCAGTCTTAGCATCATCATTTTCCTGTGTCCTTCTGCTCAGGTAAAAGTAAAATGTGCGGCAACCCGGGTGTCCTGAGTCTACCAAGTTCCAAGCATTTTTTTATTTTCTTGACATGCATGTTGTTGATCTAGAGTCATTTGATGCAGACAGGGTGCAGGTGTGGGCAGAACTTGTTGGCAGTAGTGCATGGTCTTGTCATAGTTTTACTTCTAGAGAAAGTAGCAAAGGGGTGGCTCTATTATCAAAAAATGAGCAACACCATGTGAAGGGTGGGAATCATCCTCAACTTTGCTGTTGGTCAGGGTGTAGCCCCTCTCTATCTGCTGGCACCAAATACCAACCACTGATCATCAGGAGTGATATTGGATCTCAGTATTGACACTATTCATAGAGTCACTGGGTTTGACCTCGAGGGTGATGGTCTTGCTCTTCAAGAGCTTTCCAAATTCCAAATATCTCCATCTTGGTGTCTGTTCCACCACCTAGTTGAAAAAGAGAGTTCAATAAAAGTAGTTTATTCCCCTTTACTTTTGGTACTAGGGACAGATGGCGGGGCTTCCAGTATTCTGCTTCTCCTAAGCCATACTCCACCCTGAGCCACAATTTTCAATTTCTGATCTTACTTTAAATTTATTTCACATGCTGAATTTTTCTTATACTTACATGTTTAATTATTACTGATGTTGATTAGAAACAGGTTCTCTTGGTAGAGCTCTGGCTATCCTGAGCTGGTTATGTAGGACAGGCTGCTCTGGAACTCAAAGAAATTCTGCCCCTGCTTTGCATTTATATTAAAGATGTGGGCCACCACACGTGGCCATGGGTTTAGTTTTTCACTTGTTTGAAAATGTCATATGACCATGCATTGTGTCTTGGATGAGTCCACCCTCCAGCCTTCCCCTTCCTCCTCACCCTTTCTGATTGGATCCCTCATCACTGACTTGTTTTGCTTTTATTCCTTCTGGGTCTTGCTAGTTATTGAAAATCCACTTCCCTGTCTTACAAAACCAAGTTTCTGTTCTCTTCCTCCTATGCAGTTCAATTTGTGCTTCTCATAATCTTGGGCATAGTTCCAGGGGACACACCATTAAAGATAACCGGCTTTCCCTCTCCCAGTAGGCATCAATGCCAATAGCTCTTCATCTGTGGATGGGACTTTGTGCCCATCTCCCATCCCCATGCTAGATGTTTTGTTCATTGAACATGCATTGGGTTTGTTGATATCTTACAATCACTCTCAACTCAGATGATCCACTATTCTTCAGTGACCAGAAAAGTGTTTATTGACAGCATCCATCACCTATGGATCTTACAGTTTTCCCACACTCTCTTCAGTAATGATTCTGTGTCAGGAATGTGTCACATGAGGACAATTCTTTTACTTATCATCACCTCAAAGATTGTGTCAAGCACACACAAGTCCTGCTTGTCACATGGAGAATGAGATAAAGGTCACTGAGTATTTCCCCCTTTAGTTACAGAGCCTAAAAGACACCCTTAATTTCCTCTTTGCATAAATGTTAATATGAATAATTACCATCTTATAAGTCTGTCTCTGCATGTCCTTTGTTAAATCAGAATAATGCTCAATTCATAGAGTTCTTGTGTGACAATCTTAGATGTCTGGGTTTAATTCACAGTACTGCGTACATTTGATGGGTTTAATTCACAGTACTGCATACATTTGATGTTGTGACTCAAGTCTTAGACTTCAACATTCAGGAGGTAGATGTAAAAGTATTGAGATTTTCAGGAAAATTTAATTATGCAATGAGTTTCAGGTCAGTCTGAACTATATCAGGCAATATCTCATAAAAGGAAAGAAAAATTCTTCTGGAGTATGTGGTGAACACGATCAAGTATATTTATGCATGTAATATCTTCAGTAAGTGATAAAAATATATTTCCTGTAAGCCCTCACATTGGGTATATGTACCAAGTATTTCATCTCATTCTTTTCTAAGGAGATATTCCCATCCCAGACTCTGCCTTCTTTTCACCCTTGTGAGTTCTCATGCCAAGCATGTTACATGGTTATACAGTCTCCTTCCTATTGATTTCTTTGGCAGCTGTTGTTCCTGACATGATTTAAGTGATAGGGGTTTTTGAACCAGTAGGGGTTTTACTGAGTGCTGTGAACTCATTCACACCTCCCTCTCACAGGCCTCATTGACAGTGAGAAGAAGTGCTGCCCTCTTCTGGTTGTGTGCAGTGTTGCTGCAGAGCATTGCAGCTGGCTTGTATACCCAAGTGTTAACCCGTTGGCTTTGATCTACCTTTTGTGATTGTTACCTTTTGTGTTCACTACACTCTGTTTGAAGTCTGTAAATCTTATCTGAGTTTTTCCTGAAAGGTTCAAACCAATGCAAAACAATGCAGAAATTAGAAAATAGAAGCATTTTGGTACAAGAATGCTTTGGCAATTGTCTCTTTTGAGGATGTTCGGATAAGATGTTTGGTATGTGGAAATTAACTTGTTAAGGTGCACACAGTTTAAAAATTTAAAAAAATTTAAATTTAAAAAAATAAAAATAACTTTTTTTTCTTTTTGCTTTTTGAGACAAGGTTTCTCTGGAGTTTTGGAGCCTTTCCTAGGAGTAGCTCTTGTAGACCAGGCAAGCCTCCAACTCACAGAGATCTGCCTGCCTCTGCCTCCCAAGTGCTGGAATTAAAGTTCTGTGTCACCACCACCCAGCCAAAATAAAAAACTTTTATGAAACAAAAGCTAGTCAGTTCACCAGACTCCCATTTCACAGTAAAGTAAAATTCATCCTAGTGTGACCGTGGTTCTCCAAGGAAGAGAGAAAAACTGAACAGCAGGACTGACATGGTTGGATGAGCTACATATGATGACCTTGCCTCAGATGACTGAAAGCCACACATAGCATCTCATCAATCCTCTCTGATACTGATGGGTTAGATGTAGAGTTCTATCAGAAGCATCACATTTGTTTGTGGATATTAACTCCCCAGGATATAGGATCATGGTTCTTCTCCAGAAGTGCCCCATGGCTTCTTTCCATAGCACTCCACATGCACTACGATTACTGACCACATAGTCAAATGGACTCTTCTTGGTTTTGCCTTTAAACCTATGTGCCCTTCAGAGTTTGCCCAGCTGAGTACTGTTCCTGTTGCTTTTCACAAACAACTCATGGCACCATGTAGAAGAATCTCTGCCCTAAATCTTCTTCAGTACTGGGCAGACACTAAGAGGCAGGATCTTGAGTGCAGGTTCTGTGTTTGTATGACTCCTGCTTCACGGATACCACATCTAGTGTTTTGTTGTTTGTGGCAGTGAGTAATTTTCTATCTTTTCAAGTAGGGCTAGATCTTGGTTACTGACTTTTGGCCCAACTCTATTTCTTCTTCATCAACATGGTAACATATTTCCCATTATTTATTCCCTGTGAATAAAGCATATACACCCATATCCCACCACATATGTACACATACAGACACACACACACACACACACAAAATGAGTTTGTAGATTTATATGTTTAATTGAAGCTTGAATGTAACATGAAGGCCGACTTGTTGGGGTATCTGTCCCACCCAGTACCCCACAGCCGGCAAACCCCCAAAAAAATCACACACAGGACTTCATAAGATTATAAACTGATTGGCCCATTAGCTCTGTCTTCTTGTTAACTAATTCTTACATCTTACAGTAACCCATAATTCTTGTCTGTGTTAGCCATATGGCTTGGTACCTTTTTCAGCTGTCAGCTCACATGTTGCTTCTTTGGTGATCTGGGCAGGAATGGCAGAGGGAGCTTCCTGCTTCCCAGAATTCTCCTGTTCTCATTGCATCACCTCTACTTCCTGTTTGGCTTTCCAGCCTATACTTCCTGCCTGGTCAATCAGCATTTATTTAAATATAATTGACATATTACAGACAATTCTCCCGCACCATTTCCCCCAGGAAAATATTCATAGTCCATTTTGGGGGAATGTGGGTATAGTATTCTAGGCTACTTCTTGCTGGTTGGGGGCGCTGATAATCTTATGGGGAACTAAAGAAAATTATCATCAAGTCCTGACTGGGTATTCTGTGAGTCTTGATCACCACAGTCAGCAGTCCTGAATCTGTTTTGGATGTAGAACTCTGTATCCAGGCCATCTGTTCCTACGGGAGATTTCTCAGGTGGTCTTCCTTGATTGAACCTGATTTTTCTTAGCTCAGAATAAATCCACAGCCTCTCATTTTCTGTGGAAACAAAAGCAAAATCTCTTCTCCAAAGTAACATATCTATTGACTTCAATTTTGAAGCCAAGGTATTTTCAAAATACCTATCTCGGGTTAATTCAGCAGTATTTATAAACAAAAGTCCTTTAGCAGCTGTTGCTCCTTCCTCAGCATTCAAACAATTCAAAGAGAGCATAATAGCATACAGTATCAAGATTCTCTGTGTATTTTCCATCTTTATGTGGCTTTATTTTAACCTCTATTTCTTTTATTTTTACTTTTACTATTTGAGACAGGTTCTCTGTATATCTTTGTCCTGGAATAACTCTGTAGACCAGGCTGTCCTTGAACTCACAGAGATCCCTCTGTCTCGACCTTCCCAGTGCTAGGATTAAAGGTGTGTGCTACAACACCTTGAACTCACAGAGATCTGTCTGTCTCTGCCTCCCCTCCCAGGCATTGGGATTAAAGGTGTGTGCTACCACACCTTGAAGTCACAGAGGTCAATCTACCTCTGCCCCTTGAAGTCACAGAGGTCAATATACCTCTGCCTCCCAGGCATTGGGATTAAAGGTGTGTACCACCACACCCAACTACTCTCTTTCTTTTTAACTTTAAGAACTTTAACTTTTAGCCTGCATATATTTTTAATACACTATAAAACATTTAGGGGTTTCCTTTGTCTTTGAATCTCTCTTTATTGTATATTTCTCTTTTTTTGACCACAAGAGTCTTTAATTTGCTAAGCAATATGGAGAGCTGTGGCTTTGACCATTCCTTAGCTTTCCAGCCTCAAGGCAGAGGTACCAACTGTAGCCAAGTTTTATCTCCACAACTCTATGGTGTTTCAAGGTCCTTGCCAGGAAGCAAGCTGCAGCATTCTGCTCACAGACCACACTCAGTCAGACCACCTGCACAGCTTTTTTCCTGCTATGGCTGAAGACCGAAAAGCATGCCTTCAACTTTTCATAAACACCATTTAGACTCATGTGGTAAAAAAAAGAGAGAGAGAGAGAGAGAGAGAAAGAGAGAAATATACAATAAAGAGAGATTCAAAGACAAAGGAAACCCCTAAATGTTTTACAGTGTGTTAAAAATATATACAAGCTAAAAGTTAAAGTTCTTAAAGTTAAAAGTTAAAGTTTCAGAGTTTAACTCAAGAAAACTAAACAATCCCAAGATAACTGTCTCCCAGATAACTGAATGTCCACCATTGATCCCTACATTTCCTTGACAAAACTTGGCCCCTATGCTTTCAGTGCTCTGAGTTTGAATTCTCTTTACTCAACTGTCCTGGGTTTAGGCATGTTCTAGGATGGGCTGATAGTCTTCAATGATTTTGTGAACAGGAGAAGAGTATGATGTGGGCATATGACCTGAGAATTTTTTTTCTGTGTTCTGCTTGCTCATTCAATTTAAATACCCATCATTCTCATTCTATAAACCAATGAAGTTCTGGAATGAATCTTTTTTCCTTGGCATAGCTGACTTCCCAGTCTTATTCTTATTATTTCCTTCAGCACCACTGTAAAACACCAGTGAAAGCACAAAATTCAGAGTAGAAAAAATTGTCCTGACATTACAGGCATTGATCCAGAGTCACTACACTGACTCAGAACATCTATCTCTCAACACCACTTTCTCTATCTCAACCTCTAAGTCTTGGGTGCCTGGGGTCTCTATTGGGATCTGTTTGCCTCCTTATCTCACAAGCTGAAGTGACAGAGAAATGAGGACTTCAGTGGAGTAGGAGCAGTGAGGCAGCCTGGGGATGGAGCTTACTCCCTGCACTGATATGCGTGAAACTCACCATCTGTTTTCATAGGCCTTGAGGGTGGTGGGGTTGAGACTCCAATGGGTCCTAGGAAACAGAACAGAGAAGTGATGTGGAAACTCCTTCTCAGTATGTGTTGCTTTTATTGGTTAATAAAAAAGCTGCTTTCATCCAATGGCTTAACAGAATATAGCCAGACTGGCAAAGATATATTTAGAGAGAGTAGGTAGAGCAAGAGAGAAGCCACTTACCCTCCGCCAGAGACAGATGCATCAACTGGAGTCCACCAAAACTTTGCCAATAGGCCACGACCTTGAGGTGATGCACAGATTAATGGGAGTAGGATATAAGAGCTAGCTAAAAATACGTTTAAGCTATTGGTCAGCGAGTATTGCAAGTAACAAAATTGATGTGTGATTATTTTGGGTGTAAGTAAATGGAAACAAACGAGTGGTCTCCCCCAACAGTGGAGGGAGAGGATTAGATGTTAACCCAGGGATCCTGACTCTGCTTACTGTCCTTCTCTTGCCCTGTTAACTCCCCAACACCCACATGCTGTTTACCTAAAACCCAGATTGCAATAGAGGATGGACAGGATATTACTTGAAGGACTGTGGCTAACATCCACTTCCCAGGCAGGGATAGTGTCTTCTGACTAACATTTTCTATTGTCCCCTTGATCTCACACAAGTCAAGGTCTCTCCAAGGGTTTGGATCGTAAGTCACCATGACAGTTCACCTGAGACAGTGAACTCCACAGGGGCACTGGCATATGACAACAGATAGAGAGATGAGCCTTCAGAAACATAGCTCCTGTAGGTGCCTGAGAAGTCAGAGGTCACAGCACTCATGGAGAATTCTGCCTGGAACTTCCAAAATTTGGACTTTCATTTTAGGTGCTGGGGTGGGTGTGCTGCTCACTCCTTGGACAGAATGAAAGTGTCCACTGTGTTTGCTGTCTTATACAACAGGGTCATGTTGTATCCAGAGTGTACCATGGAGTTTGGCTTCACTGAGAGGGAAAGACAGACCTGAAACTATCCTAAAGAAAAGAAAGATGATGAGAGGCTGCCATCAATGTTCTGAACTAAACAATGCCCAGATCTTACATGAACACCTAGGACTCTGTTTCTTTTCTTTGTCTGAGCCTCTCTCCTGCTCCCCTGTATCTGAATCTATTCTCAAATAATATACCTGTCCCTCATCCCAGCCATCACTTCCTTAATTTCCCAAAGAGAGCCCTATTAGAGGTTAGGGACCCAAGGGAATCTATTTAGTTCCTCACCTGAGATCAGGATGTCCAGGGGGTCACTGGAGACTGACCACTCAGAGAAGAGGTTGTGTGTACCATAGCATCTGTACTGGCCTCCAGTAGAGATGCTCACAGAGCCCAGTATGAAGCCGGCCAAGGAGAGACCAGCTTGGGTCCTATGGCCATAGTGTTGGGTGAAGTCAGCTACCACCACCTTGTACAAAGCAAATTTGTCATAGCTGATGTCAGAACAACACTGCAGGGTGAAGTTTTTCCCAGGGTGCAGATATGGCCTTGGTGACTCAGCAAGGATGGCTTCTTGGATAGGCCTAGAAGATGATAAACTAGAGATTGTGGAGATGGTTGTTACCAAACACTTGTCTCCTCCCATCCTGCCCTGCACAAGTCACGGCTTCTCCCGAGGAGTGGGGATCTGGATCATCAACCAGGTTCTTCCTTTTTCACTCTTTATCTGAATCTACACAGTGGGACACTTCCATGGCAAAGGGTATAGAGTGTCAAATATGATTGGTCAATGATGGGAGTGACTCAAGAGATGTGTATTTCCAGAGGGTCACTGGCACTGACCACAGCTGTGGGGTCTGCTTGTAGTAACCATAACATCTGAATGTTCCTGTGAGGTTTGGTGTTACATGATCTATAGAGAACAAGGCTTGGTACTGCATAATATGGCATATATACTGTGAGTCCACGGAGCTGAGGAACTTCTGATCTTCCTTGGTGAGAATGAACTTGTCATATCTCTTCCCCGAGACACACTGGAGAGTCATATTCCCTCCTGAAGTCACCACAGGGCTGGGCAGGGTTGACAGCCTGGGTTTACTGTTTGGATTCCTAGAACAGAAGGCAGCAGACTGTTACATGTGCTCACACAGTTTCAGTGATTTCCAGGGTGAGACTTGGAGAGGAATACTCCTGAGGGCAGAGCCAGTGTCTGAGACCCTGGCTGTCCACTCACCTGTCACCACCAGTTCCAGGGTGTCACTGCGCTCTGACCAGCCAGCTGAGCTGTAACAGTAGCATTGATATTGCCCTGTATGTAGATGTGTCACAGAAGGGATGGAGAACTTGGTTTTGTTCTCAGGCTTCTCTGAGGTTTGCATCTCCAAGGGTTTTGGCTTCCCTCTTTATGGAGAACATATATTTCTGCATCCAGGGTCCCCTGACACCAGATGGTCATGAGTATACCTGAGGTTACAATGGATCCTGGTTCAGCCTTGATTGTGGATTTGTGGAGGGTCCCTGCAAGGGAGTAGGTGAAAAAGAGTTGTTCCTGTCTGGAAGTTGGCACAGAAAAAGACATGCTTGCAGATGGGACTTTGTTTTCCTTTACATTTATTCTTCTGTCATACAATACATCCCGATAGCAGCCTCCCCATATCCCTTTCTCTACCCTACCTGGAGATTCACTGCACTTTTGTTTCTCTTCAGAGAGGAGCAGGCTTCCCACTGATATTAACCGAATATGGCATAACAATTTAATAACTACGCACAGACCCTCATATTAAGGCTGTCCAAAGCTACCCAGTATAAGAAAAAAGATACCAGTGCATGAAAAAAAAAGTCAAAGACTTCCCCACTCCAACTATTATGGTTCTAACAAAAACCCTAAGCTAGCCAGGCAGTAGTGGTGAAGGCCTTTATTTCCGGCACTAGGAGGTAGATGCAGGCCCATCTCTGTGAGGTCAAGGCAAACCTGGCCTACAGAGTGAGGTTCAGAACAGTCATAACTACACAGCGAACCTCTAAAAGATGAAACAAAACAAAACAAAAAATCCAAGGTAAACAACTACTCCATGTGTGCAGAGTGCCTAGGGCAGACCAATGCAGCCTCTGAGTTTGTTGCCTCAGTCTCTGTGAGTCCTTATGATTCTTCCTTAGTTGATTCTGTGGTTCATGTTCTTCTGGTGCCCTGAGTACTTTGGCTCCTACTTGCTGTCTTCTTGGGTTTTTCTGAGCTCTTGTGGATGCTACTTGAACTGATCCAGAATAACAGAAGGCTCCATGAAGATTCATTTCTGACCTGTAACTTCTGCTACTCTCTGCCTTGGACTCTTTCTCTTGTGCCGTACGATCTCATGTGCTTTGTGTCAGTGGGCTCACACACACCACACACCAAGTCCTCCCTGACCACCTGTATAATTTCGATAGCAATAAATGGAAAAGTTGGGGTTCCTCACCTGAGACCAGGAGCTCCAGGGATTCACTAGGTTCTGACCACACCTGTTGGCTGTACCAATGATAACTGTGGCATCTGAATGTCCATCTTTGACTGGAGATCACAGGACCCACAGAGAAAACAGCCTGGAACAGTCCAGTGGATTGGTTATACTATGTAGTGAAGGACTGATTCTGTGATCCTTTGTTAGTCAGAAGTAACCTGTGATATTGCTGACTTGAGGCACACTGAAGGATGATATTCCCTCCTTCAGTCACCACAGGACTGGGCAGGGCTGATAGGCTGGGTTTACTGTAGACTCCTAGGAGGGAAGGAAGAATCAGTTAAATTTCCTCAAGGGCTCATTATCTTCTATGGCAAGAAGGGGGCATTCCTGTGAACAGACCCACTTCTTGATAGTCATGCCTGAGGCTCGGAAACCTGTGTGTCCTCTCACCTGTCACCACAAGCTCTAGTGAGTCACTGTACTCGGACTGTCCATCATAGGTCCTATAGCGACAGTGATATTACCCTGCATGTTGATGGTATACTTTTGAGATTGAGAATTCAGCCTGGTTCTTAGGGTTGTGTGGAATCTTTGTTCGCAGTAAACGTTGGTCTACCTCTTTATGGAGACTGTACTCTGGCTCCCATGATACCATTACACATGATGGTCACTATAGTATTCTCAGAGACCACGGTTTCTGGCTGTATTCTGTGGATAGGTTTAGGGAGGGATCCTGCATGGAAATGAGCAGCTAGGGCCAAGGACAGCCATCCTCAGATTGTGGGCCCCAACATCAACCGCCCAGCTGCCCCCAGGTTCAGCACACATCTGTTGTTTTCCAGCCTCCCTGCCCAGGCATGGCTTCTGGGAATGATGGGAAGTGAAGATCATGACATCTGCAGTCACTCACCTACCAGCACTGGGGTCCCTATGCCCAGAGTAAGTCCTGGAAGAGAGTTCCCTGTGAGAGGTTTGTCCCTGAAGCTTGAGCAGGTCCTCCCCTCTGCAGGACCTCCTGAGACTGTGTTGTTTCCTGATGGGCCAGTGCTGGGATGAGGGGCAACATCAATTCCAGACCACAGGATCCCCTCCCCGTCTCCGCATCTCACCCACACACAGCAGGGCTGTGAACGTGAAGGTCATGGCATCTCCTCCTGGAAGCTGCTACTGTTTTTATAGGCAGAGGTACAGAGACTGCCTAGAGATACAGGAAACACAGGGTGTGGCCTCCTATGCAGGCACTCTCCATGACATGGTTGTACTGGTGCAGCCCCACAGGAAGGGGAACTGCCCTCTTTGGGCACCAGGCTCTGTCTTCCTCCAGGCTGTGACTAGGTCAGGGAGTAGACTCTGCAATCAGTTCTTTTATGGGTAACATTTCAATAATCCTGACAGTGTCTGTTTCATCTGTTCTAATCTTTGCCAGTTCCAGATGGAGCTGGCAAATTATCAGACATATGGGGATAGTAGATACAAGAAATACAAATTTACATGTGGGTTTGCATTATTCCTTTTCACATTTTTACATGAAATACTTTTTCATGTTTGAAGGTTTCTGTTAAGGATCTTGCTGTGTATATCTGCATGGAATAAAATTTATAATCTCCTTCATCATAGTCTCAAGTGTTGAGTTCCAAATGTGAATCCCTATTTGGAAGTTCCTTTATTTTTAGAATTTTTTAATTTATTTTTCCATTCAAAAATTTACACTTCCTTTCCTGCTCCCATTCCCTTCCCGCTCCCCCACTCACCCTCCTCCTCCCCCCTTTCTTAAGTCCAAGGCTCTCCCCACTACAACCAGGCCTAGGAAGCTTTGCATCCAATTATACTAGGGTCCCCAAAAGCCAATACATTCATGTACTGGGTGATCTTTTATGATGTGTGTACTTTTTCTTACAATTTTAAATTATACTTATTTATTTACACTTGTTTCTTTAAATTACACATAATTAATAATAATATATTACACTTACTTTTTCTTCATGCATGTATATTTACATTTGCCCCAGTACTGCTTGGAGGTCAGAGGACAGCTACAGAGGCAGTTTTCTCCTTGTGCAATGTGGACCCGAGTCAGAATTTAAGGTTGGCAGTAGCACTTCTACACTGATCCTTGACAGTAGCTCAGTCTTAGTATCATCATTTTCCATTGTCCTTCTGCTCAGGAGAAAGAAAAATGTGTAGGTTAATGGGTGTCCTGGGTCAACCAAGGTCCAACTATTATTTGATTTTCTTGACATGCATGTTGTTGGTCTGGAGTCATTTGATGCAGACAGAGGTGCAGGTTTGGGCACAACTTGTGGGTGGCAGTGCATGGTCTTGTCATAGTTTTACTTCTAGAGAAACTGGCAAAGAAATGACTCTATTATCACCCATGTACAGCACCAGGTAAAGGGTGGGAAACATTCTCGACTTTGCTGTTGGTCAGGGTGCAGCCCCTCTCTATCTGCTGGCAGCAAATACCAACCACCGATCATCAGGAGTGATCTTGGTTCTCAGTATCAACACTATTCATGGAGTCACTGGGTTGGACCTCGAGGGTGAGGGTCTTGCCATTCAAGAGACTTCAAAATTGACAAAGATCTCCATCTTGGTGTCTGTTCCATCACCTAGTTGAAAAAGAGAGTTCAATAAACATAGTTTATTTCCCTTTACTTTTGGTTCTAGGTACTGAGGGCAGGGCCTCCAGTATTCTACTTCTCCTGAGCCATATCCACCCTTGAATCACAGCCACCTTCTCCTGCAATTTTCAATTTCTGATCTTACTTTAAATTTATTTCACATGCTAAATTTTTCTTATGCTTATATGTTTAATTATTACTGATGTTGATTAGAAACAGGTTCTCACAGTGGAACCCTGGCTGTCCTGGAGCTGGTTATGTAGGAGGGGATGGTCGGGAACTCACAGAAATTCTCCGCCACTGCTTTCTGTTTAGATTAAATGTGGGCCACCACATGTGGCCATGGGTTTAGTTCATGGCTTGTTTGAAAATGTCACATCAATATGCATTGTGTCTTGGATGAGTTTACCCTCTACCCTTCCCCTTCCTCCTTACCCTCTCTTATTGGATCCCTCCTCACTGACTTGTTTTGTTTGGATTCCTTCTGGGTCTTGGTAATTGTTGAAAATCCACTTTCCTGTCTTACTTACCCAACTTTCTGTTCTCTTCATCCCATGCAGTTCAATTTGTGCTTCTCATAATCTTGGACATAGTATCTGGGACCACACCATTAAAGATAACTGGCTTTCCCTCTCCCAGTAGGCATCAATGCCAATATCTCTTATTCTATGGATAGGACTTTGTGCCTATCCCCCATCCCCATGCTGGATGTATTGTGCATTGAACTTACATTGGGCTTGTAGATATCCTTACAATCACTCTGAACTCAGATGATCCACTACTCTTCAGTGTCCAGAAAACTGTTTATTGACATCATCTATCACCTCTGCATCTTACATTCTTTCAACATTCTCTTCAGTAAAGATTCTGTGTCATGAATGTGTCACATGGGGACAATTCTTTTACCTTTCATCACTTCAAAGATTGTGCCCAGGGCACACAAAAGTCCTGGTTGTCACATAGAGAATGAGATAAAGGTCACGGAGTATTTTCCCTTTTAGTTACAGAGCCTAAAAGACACCTTTAATTTCTTCTTTGTATAAATGTTAATATGAATAATTACCATCTTGTAAGTCTCTCTATGTATGTCCTTTGCTAAATCAGAAAAATGTTCAGTTCATAGAGTCCTTGTATGACATTCTTAGATGTCTGGGTTTAATCCCCAGTACTGCATACATTTGATGCTGGGACTCAAGTCTTGGACTTCAGCAATCAGGAAGTAGAGGTAAGAGTACCACGGTTTTAAGGAAATTCTTATAATGCAATGAGTTTCAGGTCAGCCTGAACTATGTCAAGCCTTATCTCATTAAAGGAAAGAAAAATTCCCGTGGAGTATGTGATGAACATGATCAACCATATTTCATGCATCTAATAACCTTCAATAAATAATGAAAATATATTTGCTGTAAAGCTCCCACATTGGGTGTATGTACCAAGTATTTCACCTCATCCATTTCCAAGGAGATATTTCCATCCCAGACCCTGCTTTCATTCCCCCCTTGAGAGTTCTCATGCCAAGTACATGGCTACATTGTCTCCTTCCTATTGATTTCTTTGGCAGCTGTTGTTCCTGACCTGATTTAAGTGATGGGTCATTCCATTTGAACCAGTAGGAGTTTTACTGAGTGCTGAGAGCTCATTCACACCTCCTTAACCACAGGCCTCATTGACAGTGAGAAGAGGTGCTGCTCTCTGCTGGTTGTGTGCAGTGTTCCTGCAGAGCATTGCAGCTGGCTTGTATACCCCAGTGTTAACCCTTGGCTTTGACTGAACTATTGTGATTGTTGCCTTTTGTGTTCACATCCCTCTGTTTGAAGTGTGTAAATCTTATCTGAGTTTTTCCTGAAAGATTCAAACCAATGCAAAACTATGCATAAATCAGAAAACAGAGATATTCTGGTACAAGATTTGCTTTGGAACTTGTCTCTTTTGGGGAGATTCAGATAAAAGGTTTGGGTATGTGGAAATTAACTTGCTGAGTTGCAAATATTCTCAATAAATTCTGGCAAACAGAATCAAAGAACACATTAAAAAATATCCATTATGGTCAAGTAGGCTTTATACTAGAGATGCAGGGCTGGTTCAGCATATGAAAATCTATCAATGTAATCCATAATATAAATAAACTGAAAAAAACCATATGATCTTTTCATTAGATGTGTAAAAAGCATTTGACAAAATTCAACACCCCTTTATAATAAAGGTCTTGGAGAGGTTAGGGATACAAGGATCATAGCCAAATATAATAAAAGCAATATATAGGAAGCCAACAGCTAATATAAAATTAAATGGAGAGAAACTCAAAGCCATTCCACTAAAATCAGGAACAAGACAAGGCTGTCCACTCTCACCATATCTCTTAAACATAGTGCTTGAAGTTCTAGCTACAGCAATAAGACAACATAAGAAGATCCAAGGAATTCGAATCCGAAAGAAAGAAGTTAAACTTTTGTTATTTGCAGATGGTATGATAGTGTATATTAGTGACCCAAAAAACTCTACGAGAAAAAAAAAAACTCTACGAAAGAACTCCTACAGCTGGTA